AGTTTGTATAAGAATTATTATACCCGGCTAGCTACACAACTTCTTGTAGCTTGTATTTACTGGGCAATTTAAGTAATGCTAGGCTATCTACTTTGGTAATTTTGACAACACTAGGCTCAGTTGTACTGCCGGTAGCTCTAATGAGATATTCGTTGAGGAGGGGATGCATTCATCCAACTGCCATGTATTAAAATGCCTGCCTACTATAGCCCTGAGTCTGTAACTGTGAATGTGATGTGGACCTTGCCCTTAGACTACTCCAGATGAAGTGGGGAGAAGTTGACAAAGAAAGTCCAGTACCCCCAGTGTTGTCCTGGGAGAAGCATAGGGCACCAGGAGGTTGACTTGGTTGGCTGAAGATTTTAGAATGTATTTCCTTCACAGTTAGGCCTCACCAAGAGTTGGGCTTGTGCACTGATCTTTCCTGGAGAGCCTGATGAGACCATGTACCTTGTGTTCACTTCGAGAATGGGATGGGTTGCCCTGATCATTGGTAATCTGCCTAGAGGATTTGCTAGCTTGCCACCTGTATTAGTCTGTTTCCATGCTCCTAATAAAGACGCACCTGAGACTGGGTAATTTATAAAGAAAAAAGAGGTTTAATGGACTCACAGTTTCACGAGGATGGGGAGGCCTCACTATCATGGCAGAAGGCGAAGGCATGTCTTACATGGTGGCAGACAAGAGAGAATGAGAACCAAGCGAGAGGGGTTTCCCCTTATAAAACCATCAGATCTCGTGAGACTTATTTGCTACCACAAGAACAGTATGGGGGAAACCTCCCCTATGATTCAATTATCTCCCATCGGGTCCCTCCTACAACACGTGATTATTTGTTGAGGCTGAGAGGGAAGGGCTGCTGACCTCTAGAGGGCAGAGGCCAGGGATGCTGCCAGCTATCCTGCAATGCTCAGGGCAGCTCCTACAGCAAAAAAGTACAGCTCCAGCTGGTAATTGTGCCAGGAATGAGAAAGCCCAGGCTAGAAACTTTCTCCCATAAATTTCATCAGTAGTAACAGTGATTATGTACAGAAGCCTTAGGTGCTGTTTCCTGGTGGAAATATAAATTTAAGAGGATAAAGTGTGGTCTTTCGAGGATAAAATGTGAACTAGATTATCCATTCTGCCATTGTGCACCTGGCTCTACCCCAGGGGAACCTTGCTATGCCCCCCTCCCTTTCCCTTGTGGTTTATTAATGTTGGGGGAAACCGATGAGGTCTAATTGGGATTGGTTAAGTGAATTCCCAAGGGGAAGTCTCCTTGCATCTTTGCTTTCTCAATGGTTGCTCTGTGTACAGCTCCCCTCTGACTCTCCCCTGGAACCACGTTATTGTATTCTCACCTGCTCAACAGGTTTTCCCTGAACGGTCTTTGAGAAATAAATACCAGTCAAAGGGGTAGAAAAACAAGCCTGGCCTTTGAGTCCTAGAAGATTAGATGACCTCTTTTGCTGTAATTCTAGACAATTTTATGTAGAGGTAAGGGCAAGGTGCTTAACATGCATTTTTATTTTTATTATTTACTGTCTTAACCCCCAAGATTGTGTATTCTTTCTTTAGAATTGTGTTACCTAAAATTCACACAGAGTCTCTGCACATTAGAGGCTGCTTTCTTAATTCTTATTCTAAGGGAACGTAATTGAACTTGGATCTCAAAATGAAGTGATGTGGCACAGATATAATGCATTGTTCTTAGAACTCTCAAGTACTCAAAGAGCATATGGATTATGAAGAGGAGGTGCAGGGTACAGATTGTTTGCTTGTATTTGCACATAGGAAACACTATAATTAATAAATCTCTATTGTTGGATATTCAGTTGTTTTCACGTTTTGAGAATTGTAAACAAAACAGAAATTGGCATTGCTATGGTTAATATTTCTTGAGGATAACATCCTAGAAAATTAAAATTACTCAAAGAGGATGCGGAATTTTAAGGCTTTTAATATAGTTTGCCAAAGGCCCTCTGGAAAGTTGTGCTGATTTACACTCTGAATAGGTGGGCACGGACACACAGCTTTTTTCTTTAGAAGTCACAAACCAAGAGGTGTGGTAGATGTGTCTAGGGGGTCAGGAGTATGGTAAACTGAACTTACCAAGGATAACCCCACTGTTCTCTGAATGCATTCTCTTACTATTCTTACCCTTTCTTGGTGTCAGCAAGTCACCTGTTTCAGGAACATAACAGGCATGCTCCTGCCTCGGGGCCTTTGCACTTGCTGCTTTTTTGGCCTAGGACCCGATTTCTCCAGATGTCCACAAGGCTCCCATCCTCACCTCTCAGACGCCTTTTTTTTTTTTTCCTTGGAGGCAGAATTCGCCTGTCACCTAGGCTGGAGTGCAGTGGCGCAATCTTGGCTCACTGCAACCTCCGCCTCCCAGGTTCAAATGATTCTGCTGCTGCAGCCTCCAGAGTAGCTGGGATTACAAGCACTACCATACCCAGTTAATTTTTGTATTTTTTAATAGAGACAAGTTTTCACCATGTTGGGCAAGCTGGCCTTGAATGCCTCTGACCTCAAGTGATCCACGCTCCTCGGTCTCCCAAACTGCTGAGATTACAGGCATGAGCCACCACATCCAGCCAGTGGCACAATCTTGTCTCACTGCAACCTCTGCCTCCCAGGTTCAAACAATTCTGCTGCTGCAGCCTCCAGAGTAGCTGGGATTACAAGCACTACTATACTCAGCTAATTTTTGTATTTTTTAGTAGAGACAAGTTTTCACTATGTTGGGCAAGCTGGTCTTGAACGCCTGACCTCAAGTGATCCACCCTCCTCGGCCTCCCAAACTTCTGAGATTACAGGCATGAGCCACCACATCCAGCCTTAGATATCTTTACTCAAATGCTGCCATCTCAGTAAAGCTTTCCCTGATTTTCCTGTTTAAAATTGTATTCCTGCCCCTCCCACACAGGTAGAGACACAGACTTCAGTTTCCTTCCCTGCTTGATTTTTCTCCTTATCCTTTGTTGCTAACTCCCAGATTTGTGGCTATATCCATCCCCAGCATGGGGAATAGGCTTGGCACTGAGCAGAGGCTCAATAATTATTTGTTGAATGTGTGACTAAACCACTTGGTAGATTTGCAATTGCTGGTTACCACTGATTAGCTTCTCAGCAGGCTTCCCTCATCATCTTTGGCCAAAGGAGTAGCGGTTTTGTTTTGGTTCATTTCCTTTACTTGTCAGCTGTGCCGAAGTTATTTATACAACTGCTGGTGGTGTTGAGGCTTCCATTATTAACTCAGCTATCTCTATTGTCTCAGTAATGTCCAGCATCTGCTGAGTAACTCACAACGCTTACTCTGGTCTGATAAAGGATCAAATGCACATGTTTAAGATCTTCATTTCAGGTATCAATTTATCAAAAAAGAGAACCCAATAGAAAAGGGGCAAAGGTTTGGACAGCAGGGAGCATGTATCTTTTCCTCTTTATGTTCAACCTCACTCACAATAAGATAATTTAAAAATACATTAAGATTTTATTTTCAACCTGTCAGGCTTACAAAAATTCAATCTGTTGGTGAGGCTGGGTGTAAATAGGCAACCTCATACAAGTCCAATGGAGAGAGATTTGGAAATGGCTATCAACATTAACTGCATATATGCCTTGACCCAGAAGTTTTACTTCTGTGAATCTGTTGTAAGGATCTACCTGCATATATGCAAAATTAGTTATATATAAGTTTCTGGATCATAGTTTGGTTTATGATAGATAAACTTAAGGAATCACCCAAATGGCCCACAGCAGGGGACTGGTTCCTCAAATAGGACACATCCACACAATGAACTACTATATAGCTGTAAAAAGAATCAGGATGTTCTCTTTGTACTAACATAGAAGGAATTAGAAAATATACTAAAGGAAACAAAAAGAATGCTGCCTTTTGGCCGGGCGTGGTGGCTGATGTCTGTAATCCCAACATTTTGGGAGGCTGAGGTGGGCAGATCACCTGAGGTCAGTAGTTTGAGACCAGCCTGGCCAACATGGTGAAACTCTGTCTCTACTAAAAATACAAAATTTAGCTGGGCATGGTGGTGCATGCCAGCTACTTGGGAGACTGAGGCTGGAGAACTGCTTGAATCCAGGAGGTGGAGGTTGCCCACTCTAGCCTGGGCAACAGAGGGAGAGTCCATCTCAAAAGAAGAAGAAGAAAAAAAAGAATGCTGCCTTTTATATAAAGAAAATAGAAAATGTAATAATATATTTTTGTATTTGAAGAAATACTTGAAGAAATTTTAAGGGATACTTAATGACTTGGGTAACTGGAAGGATAGGAAGTGAAAGCAGATATTGGGTGGGTGGGTGACATTGGGAGAAGAGACTCAATACTGTACATCTTTGTACACACACACACACACACACACACACGTTTGTATCACATGATTGTTAACAAAAAATTAATTTTAAAATGAAATGGGGCCGGGTGAGGTGGCTCATGCCTGTAATCCCAACACTTTGGGAGGCCGAGGTGGGCGGGTCACCCAGAGTTCGAGACCAGCCTGGCCAACATGGTGAAACCCTGTCTCTACTAAAAGTACAAAAATTAGCTGGGCATGGTGGTGGACACCTGTAATCCCAGCTGTTCAGGAGGCTGAGGCAGGAGAATGGCTTGAACTCAGGAGGAGGCGGTTGCAGTGATCCAAAATTGCACCACTGGGCAACAGAGCGAGACTGTCTCAAAAGAAAGAAAAAAAAAAGAAATAGGCTAGCCTGGGAGGATAATGGTTACTTCCTTTGTGTAAGAAGCACTGTTCATTCAGGTGAGAAGTCCAGGTCTGTTCTGAATGCCTTCCTATCCGCATTTGCACATTTTCTGCCCCGCCCCACCCCCCATCGAAGAAGGTGCATGGTGTGACCAGGCCTTGGGGAGGGAGTATGGGTGTGCCTGTGTGTGAACTCTCCGGGCATTCCTCCTTCGTGATATCCTGGTTGCTATAGTGCGGAGATCTATTTGTGACACACAGAAAACACTTTAAAGAAACTTTGCTTCCTGACCATGACTTCCTGGGCAATCTGTCCTTCCGGAGACTGTTGAGCGCCAGACGTTTACATGCATGTCTGGACAGAGAGCAAGCCTGGCTCATTCAGACCCCGGGCACCAGTCGGAGCAGAACTCAGTGGTAAGGAACAGCTTTCTTTCCACTGAAGATTCGCTCAAGCCGTGCCCGGCAGGGCGGGCAGCGTCTCCTGGCGGCCTTGACGCAAGAGCGTTGGCACGGGTACCTCCATCTTTCTTTCCTCGGGAGCCCATCGTGCCGTTGGCTGTGCCGCTGCGCCTTCAGCACCCAGGCACCAAGGGGAGCCGTTTTTCATACCAAACCACCGGTGAAAACAGGAAGTGATGAAGCACAATTCACCCTGCATCTGCACTGAGTGACTTCTCTTTCTTTTTTGTCATTGCTCACTAGGTGTAGACACGTGCGGCAGTTTACGCTGTAGGATCCCCAGACCCACTGGCTTTGAACGTTTTGGGGGCTTACCATGCCGCCACCCGCGGACATCGTCAAGGTGGCCATAGAATGGCCGGGCGCCTATCCCAAACTCATGGAAATTGATCAGGTTAGTAACGTGACAGCGTTGGGAGTTTATTTTCTCTTTCCTTTCCATACTGGAATTTTCATAGACTTTGGATAGCTCTTTCTTCCCCCTTTCTCTCTCTAGCTGTGTTGAAAAATCTGTGCAATAATTGTTGCAATGTTGGCTTGATTTCTGTACCACACGTAGTAGTGATGGATGGGGTTTTTATACTCTTCCAACATCCACTTGGATTGTGTCAATGCAGGATTTGTGTCTGAAGCTGGGAAGGAGGTGGGAGGGACAGTGGATCAGGCCCTGGGCAGTTGACAACAGTGGAGGCTGCCCCATCCCTGCCTTGCCATGACACATGAATATGTGCAGATTGTTGTAACACAGGCAAGACAAAGCTTTTTAAATCGTTTTTCTCTTCAGTTTCTGCAGAAGCAGCCAAACGCATTGGTACTTTGTTACATTAATAGCTTTATGATGAAATTAGTATAGAAGGGTTCAGTCTTGGATCTCAGCCAACTGTAATTTTTATTTTTTAGTGTAAAATTCACTATGTGTTTAGCATATTGTCTGCCATGTAGTAAATACTCAGCAAATGTTTATTGAGTTAAAAAATATCAAGAAGACTTATAAAAGTGGTTTTACCCATAAAGGCACTTTAACTTGAATCTTGAGAATTGTATGGTGTGATTCTCATGCACTATTTGATGATAGGTTATCTCAGAATGGTTACTTTTGTCCTCCTTTTCCTGTAGCCATTCTAGAGCAAGTGATTTAAGGGATAAAAGGTTGAGACCAAATATGTACTTACAGGTTTTATAATGTCCATAATATAGAGTTCTAGATGGCTTTCTATATTTTCAAAATTATAATACTGTGGCAACTCCAATCTTTATGTTCTCTATACCATTTTATGATTAAGATTTACAATTATTTCCTGGTCAGATTTTATTATCTGCTGGCAGGATCAATGAAAGAGTTATATGGAATTCTGTGAATCCAAAGGAATCACTAAAATGAATTCTACAGGTCAGATCAGAATTAATTGAACTTAAACTCAAATGTAAGAAAGGGTCAATTTTTGAGATTTTTGTCAAAAAAGCTGTCATCACACCACACATCATTGTCATTTTAACTGCTCTCTGAGGTGGTTTCTACTGACTCAAGAAGCAATCTATACAAATAGAGAAAAGTAGAGATGCCTGATAGTTTCAGATACATTTGAGTCAGGCAAGACATGCTTATCTATTTTCATGTGTGGTTTGAGATGCTAGTTAAAATTTACCTTAAGAAAACGTTTGGAGATACTTGGTGCAGACTGAATGTAGTTAGGATTAGGTTTGGACACAGCCTAAGAGAGCAACACTTCAATGAGATAGAAGTTGGTCTCATGTATATGTAGAGGTCCTAATGCCCCTTAGTGGCATGCATTTGGGCCCTCTGTCTCATTGCATTGCCCTTCTCAATCTGTGGGGCTTCGAACCAGATGCTCAGGCATCACCTAAAAGCATGTTAGAAATGCAGAATCTCTGGTCTTACTCCAGACCTCTTGACCTGAGTCTGCATTTTAGCAAGATCCCCAGGACATCCCTGTGCATAGTTCAATCTGAGATGTGCTGAGCTGGATGCCTAGTGTCCAACCCCAGGTGCTCATCAGAACTACCCAGGCACTTATTCAAATAACTGTTTTCAGTGATCCCATCCCAAGAGACTCTAATTTAGTGGTTCTGGTAAACTATTTGATTTTGATTATGTGGTAGTCAGTACAGTTTGGGTACCTTTGCTTTAAGACAGTAGCTCTTGATAGATATTTCTCCATACCTGTGAGGTTAGTGTAGTATTCTCTGCCTTTGGAGATGGCCTTTGCTATGTGTGTGCTTTAATATATATTTTTTAAATTATCTGTTTATTTTGGAATAATTTATATTTACCGAAAATTATGAAGATTGTATAGGCTTACATTTATACCCTTTTTCCAGTTGCCCCTCATGTTAATATCTTAATCCTGGTACATTAGTCAAAACTAAGAAATTGACATTTGTACATTACATTAACAAAACCACCAACTTTGTTTCCTCAGTATCCTTCCATTTGGATAATTTCTCAGTCTTTTCTTGTTTTTCATGACCTGATAGCTTTGACAAGTAATTTTATGTTGATATAATTTTAAACACACAAAAATTGCAAGGATAGTAAAAAGTGCTCTGTACCTACTTTTTCTGAATCATTTGATGGGGCCTTGGAAGTACCATCCCCCTTCACTCCTGAACACTCAGTGTGTATGTCCTAAGAATGTAGTCATTCTCTTATATAATCACAGTACATTTATAAAAACCAAAAGTAAATTGAATACTGGTATAATGCTATTGTCAAATTCACAGTTTGTACTCCGTATTCAAATTCCATCAGTTGTCCCAATAGGGCCCTCTACAGCTATTTTCTCTGTGGTGTAATATCCTGTCCAGGATCACGTACCATGTTTATTGTTGGGTCTCTTTGGTCTCCATAGATCTGCAGAAATTTATCAGTCTTTATCTTTTGTGACCTTGACATTTTTATAGACTACAGGGGCAGCTATTTTAGAAAAATTCTTCAGTTTGGGGTTCTCTCATGTATCCTACTGATCAGATTTGGGTTTTGTATTTTTGGTAGAAATGTAGAGAAATGACGTGTCCTTTATGACCCATCATATCAGGAGATACATGGTGTTGCACTGTCTCTCATTCTTGGTGATTATTCTGGTTTTATAGATGACAAGTGTAAACATTAGTTAAATTTTAGACCTCCTATTAATCACATATGGAAACCTATAGACAGTTAGGAACCCAGACTCTTGTTGCCCTGCAGTTGCTGAAATTATAGTGAGACTTATGAAGTGTTGGTGTCAGATGTTGTTTCTTGATTGAGTCAGAAGTTGGCATGAGAATTAGAAGTATGTTTGCACACACAATGAAGAGTAGAAGAAATGATTATTACTTGGGTTTTCTCCTAATCTTCTACCTTGTTCAGTAAAAGATCACATAACCTACCTCTCTCCCATAGCATGTTAGCTTCATTTAGAAAGCTCTTTGCATTATTTTTTAGCCTGGATAGCTACTATTTCTCTAAAAGCTGTTTCCAAAAGTTGGGTTAAGCACTGCTGCTCTATCATCTCCCAAAATTTTGGGTAACAGTATTGTGTTGTCCTTATCACATTGTGTTGTCCTTGTCTATCAACTGATCCCAGTGGTCCTCAACCATGAGTGTGTACAAAAAGCATCCAGGGAGCTTGTACAAAGGGCACATACCAGCTTGTGCAAAATGCATGCCCAGCTGGAGAGATTGTGATTCTGTTGGCCAGCAGCAAGGCCTTTCATCTGTACCTGTGATAAGCACCAGATAAATCTGATCCAAGGGCTTCCACAGTTGGAGAAGCAGTCATTAGACTAGGAACTGCCTGTCTCTGAATGTTGTTTCTTCTTGCCTAGGTGAACAGTCCTTAAGATGAAAAGATATTTCATGAATGAATAACTGGAAGGAGGTGCTTCCTTAGTAGTGATTATCTTATCAGGTGCTCAATTCTGCTCAGCCACCCTCTAACAGTGTCTGGAGTATTCAGAGGGATGTCTGCCCATGATGGACTTATCTTCTTTCTAAATATTTAGGAGAAAATTCTGTGTTTCCACTCAGTAGGAAAACCCCCCAGGGGCTTTTTACTTTGCTGTATCAGGGAAGCTCTCAAAAGAGTTATGAGCTTACTGGTTCCTGGCCCCTGCTCTGGCCTTCGAGATCTGTTGTTGAGTTTCAAGCTCGGGGAGCTGCTTGAGGCTGAGGATGTTTGTTGTCTGGATACATCAAGGCTCCTATATCCACTGCTCTTGTTAACTTACTATGCTCTGAACAATGTGTTTATTTATCAGTCAAGAGTCTAGAATCCCAAACACTTTGATAAGCAGCATCTAATAGGCAGTGTGGCAGAAGGGGCAAATATAGGCTCCAAGGACATTTAAACCTGGGTGTGAGGCCTTGTTTTAGTTCCTTCAGCTACTATAACAAAGTACCTAAAGCTGGGCAATTTACAAACAACAGAAATTTATTGCTCACAGTTCTGGAAGCTGGGAAGTCCAAGATCCAGGCACCAGTGGATGTGGTGTGTGATGAGGGCATGTTCCTCATAGGTGGTGCCTTGTATGTGTCCCCACAGGCCAAAAGGGGCAAACAGACTCTGTCAAGCATGTTTTTATGCCACCACCATGGGGCCAGGCTTCAAGCAGATGAATTTTGGGGGGACACAAACATTCAGACCATAGCAGTCCTGGAGCCCTGCTTTCTGTAAAAGGCTCAGTTAGCCTTGTTGAGCCTCAGTCTCTTTGGGATATTAATTTGCTACTTTTATGGTACTTGTGAAGATTAATGGAAACATGTGAAAAGAATGTAGCACGTTGCCTAGCTCAGAGTGATCCCTAATAAAGCCAGCTATTATTGCTGTTAGTTTAAGCAAATTCCATTAGATTAGAAAATCAGGTACCCTGGTTTTCTTTTTCACCTGTACTTCCATTGTGAACAGTTGCCTTTTGTTCTCATTCTTTCTCTGTCTTTTTAAATTTTTAAGAAAGAGACAAAATTAAAAGGTAAGTGGGAGGCATCCTCTGGTAATAAAGAGGTGTCCTAACTGGACACATAGCCCATGCGTGGTGTGGAATATTCACTGGCTCCCTAGTAGAACTCTGTGATCTTTTTTCCATCTTGGCCACTCACCATTTCTCAGCAGCAGCTTTTCTGTTCCCTGCATAAACTCTTTAAGTCTCCACTATCTCCTGCCCCTGCCCTGCCCACTCAGACCTTGCGTTTGAAGGAAGACACAGACCAGAAAGCTACCATTTCTGTCTTTGCCTTAGAATTTCTCTGCCTTCATATTTGAATGGCACCACAGACTACCTGATGCCTTTGTCTCCTGCCTTCCTGTTTTATTTTGTTTCTTTCTACTGCCAGCAGAGGACGGAAGAACTGGTCCTAATTTCTTTCCAGTGCTTTCAGCTTATCCCTGCCCACAA